TTCACCTCTATTGAAACAATATGACTTTGTTTTACGCCAAAAAAAATTTTTTTGGCGTAAAACAAAGTTGTACTGCTTCAATAGAAGTGGCTCAAAATTTGATCTTATAATGATAATTTTTGTTAATAACTAATCATTATATTCTTCAAATTTGTTTTAAATGTCATGTTTGTGTTTCCTTACTTAATTAATGTTATTTTTTTGAGCTAATATGAATTGCATTATGATATGGATTGGTTAATATGAGCACTTTATTCTAAAAATATTCCAGTTTTCGCTTAAGACGCTCACAATATCCTGATCTACCCTATATGCTAATTTTAAAAACATGTAAAATATTTAAAAAAAAAAATTCGGTATATTTATTCCTAGAAAAGTTATATGAATAATTTTTGCAGTTGACGTAGCATCACTAATTTCCATTCAGTAAAGACCAATAAAATCTATGTGAATTTGTAAGCTTTTATTTATCAATCTTGATAAAGCAAATCTTTATAATCTGCTGTTAATAAAATTTTGGAGCCAATCTCGTTTTTCATATATATACATATATATATAAAAATGACGTAAGTTCTCAAGTTTTATGACTCATTGTGCTTGCGGATAATTTTGTGGCAGACGAAAGGTTATTGATGTTTTAATTATTAACACTATTAGTCATTGTAAGAACACCAAATTGAAATATGTTCATGTCAAATAATTATTTTTCAAAAATTGTGGTGATTGAAGCTCGGGAACAGAAGCACCAAAAAGGTTTGCAGCACAAATCCCTAACGTGAGGTTAATGAGTTGATAAAATATTTATTATTTTATACTAAATTTATGTTCATCGGTAGATTTTAAATTTTATTTAATATTATATAGTGTTCGAGCGTTGTGACTATGTAAAATTTACTACCCCTTTGATTTAGGAAATAAAAAATTTTCAAATAGCTAACAAAATTTAAAACCGATGAATTTAAATTTAGTATGAGTTAGTAAATTAAAATATTCTAATAACTCATCACCCTCAATTTTGCGATTGAAACTGCAAACCTTTTGGCGTGTTTATTCTCTCAGGTTTGTTTTAGAACCAAGAGGTTCGAAACCAGGTTTTGAAAGGAGCTCTGGGCACATTTTGGGGTGTCGGTAAAGAAGAAGGCATGAACTTCCTTGGTAAATACTCTTCTACGGTTGTTTTATAAGTTAGATCTAACTTTATAAGTTAGATCTAACTCTATAGAGTTAGTCAGAATAAACAGCTGTGATATTTATAATTTAATAAATTTTAACTACTTTTTAACTCTTATTTCAACTGCTTCATACATGTTGAAATTTGTTGGGTTGGTTAATAATGGTTAATTAATGGTTAATTAATGGTTAATTAATGGTTAATTAATGGTTAATTAATGGTTAATTAATGGTTGATTTTTATCAAATTCTTATGATTTATGGATTTTTAATTACTTAAATAACGCGTTTGACATAACAAAAAAAAAACAACTTAAAAATACACTCACACACACGTACACACACACACGTACACACACACACACGTACACTCACACACACGTACACTTATTACTCCTAACTTAACTTGGCCTTAATAGCTCGGCCTTAAGATGTGAATATTAGCATTTTCATACTAAATATATTTTTCCGCAGTGGTTGCTGTTATAATTATGTTTGCAAATTATTTTAACTAACCCTACTTTTTGTATTATCTACATCTTTAGATGAATTTATTATCTACATCTTTAACTATACTTTATAATAAGAAAAAAAATTCTGGAGAATGTTTCCTATTTTTTTTGAATCAGTTTCTAGTACGAAAAACTGCGCAAACTAGCATTTTATAAAGATTTTTTTAAGATTTTTGTATAAGACTTCACTACTTTGCTTAAACTATTGTCGTAAAAAAAAAAGTCTTTTTATATATGTATAAACAATTATTTTTTGTATAAAGGATCAAGTTGATTAATTTCGCTAGTAAAAATTAGTCTTTTTATCTTTAGAAAGAATTTTTCCAGATCATTCTGGGTTAAGCCACAAATTCTTTAGACTATACAGAAACACAGAGAATTAATGAAAACAATTCTTTTCAATGTCATAAGATTCGTCATACAACCTTTTTGTTTTGTTAGAAAGTTGAAGCTCAGTTTAAATCATTACGAGCAAAATATTACGACCTAACGTTCTTGTTATATTTAAGTGTTAATAAAATTGAAATTCAACATTAATAGAAGTTATTTAAAAAAAAAATGCTGCTGGTTAACAAATAGAGCAGGTTAATGTATTACTGTGTTTGCGTTTATTATTATGTATTATTGCAATTATTTTCGTTTAGTTGCTTTTTGAGTAATGTTAAAAGCTAAAATTCTACTATAGGTTTATACGAATTGCATTTGGAATATAAAAAATATGGAAGTAACTCAATGTGGTTAAGGTACTTGTTAAGAAATCACCATCAGTCGGTTTTTAGTTTAAACAATCAATATATTTCCATAAAATATTAGGTTTGTAAGATAAACAGTTGGACTGTTTAAAAGGAAAAGACTAAAGATCTCATACTGGATTACATGCAATCTTTTAAAATTTATTTAAAATGTAATATGCCAAACAAGATTTTATATTGAATATAATTTTATGTATTTTAATTGCAGTATGTTATGGAATCCTAACTTACGCTTCAATTTCCAGAATTCTCAAGTTCTAGAATGCTATTTTTAAGTGAGGACTTTTTTCATTGTTGTAATTATTTTAACAGTTGCAAAGACATTTAAACAATGATTCCTCAAGGAAATTAAAGAAAAAGACCAAAAAAAAACATATCTTAAGGACGATTTGTGGGTTTAAACACTTTCTTAAAGTTCAATTTTTTAACCACGTTTCTAATTACGATTAGGTAAAGAAAGTTTTTTTATTTTATTTAAAACAATTTAAAGCAAAGTAACTGAGCAAAGTAACAGAGCAAAGTAACAGAGTAAAGTTCTGAAGAAATTCAAAATGAGACTTAAAAGTCTTACATATTGTAGAAACAAAAAAAAATTCTAATGAGTTTTTTTTTTAAACACTAGAAAAAGAATTAGTATCAAGCAAAAAAAAATTATTTATTTTAAATAACGTTATTGTAGATTGTTAAAGATGAGATTTTTATAAACATTTTTTGATTTAAGTTGAATTATTCGCTGGTAGTTCATTACCGAAATTTTTTTTTTTTTAATTTTGAAAATTGGTTTTATTTACAAACAAACTATTTACATCAAAAAATTAACAAAAAAATCGAAAATATTTTAAATTTTGTTTAATTTTTTCGGCATGACCAGCAAAAATGAATACTATTTTATCTAAAATTCTAGCTAACCTTAAACCTAATAACTCAAGAAAACCTAGTTCATTTTGAAAAAAAAATTAACAAAAAAATTCTCTATACATATTGAACAAGTGATTGAGCAATAATAAAATTAATTTAATGAAGCTATAATTAGTTTTTTATTAATTTTTGTGAACATTTAACATATAAATGTCCAAGATAAAAAAAAATGTTTTGCTTATTATCTAGAGATTACTATAAGGAAAATTTTCTGAAATTTTCAAGTAAATTGATGAATATTTGGCCGAGTTGTGATGTTTGTCATTTGAGCCACATTCTAGACAACAGAAACGCTCATTAAAAAAAAAAACAATAAAAGTTTAACTTCTTAATGTCATCATAATAGGAAAAACATCATAATAGGAAAAACATATAACTCTTTTTATCCGCATAATAGTAAGTATAAATAACAAAACAATATGGTGGGCATAAATTAAACTAATTTCTAGTTTTTTTGTTGCAAAAAAACTTTAGTTTAAAAGATAAATAAAAACAAACTATAATACCATTTTACATGTGTTTTTATGATGTTTTTTTTAAATACTAAGCATATAATTTTTTTTTTGTAGCGTTTTTTTTAAAAAGCATATTTCAGTTTAGGGGTAACATTGACAGGTATGCTTAAGTCACTCCATAGGCCTAGAATTAAGCAAAAGTTGGTAGAATGCTTCCATCTGATGAATCTTTCACGATTACTTTCTATTAAATTACATAATATTTTTTTCCAATATATTTTTTTTATTATTCACTTTTTTTTTTTGGTGATGACCAACTTATCTGGGTTGAAAAGTCAATCTATAAGAATTGGAGGATATCGCTCCATATTCGAGCGTAGCCAAAAGCTACACAAATGCATAGCGCGAAAATTCAAATTGATCAAAAATTCAAATTGCGCAAAAATTCAAATTGCAATACCTGTAAATATTGCATTTACTGCAATTATTTCTTAGACATTTACTGGCATCAGACATTTACTTACATTTTCTTACATTTAACGTCATAAAATGTCTCTGTAGGTTTACATCGTTCAGGTAATATTTTTTTAAAGAATAGTTACAATAATACTAACTTGATTGTATTGTTTGTAGTTTGTATTGTTTGTTAACTTGACTGACTTGATTATAGACGTTACACTAAAAATATTTATTCAATAAATATTTATTCAATTAGTGTAACCTCTACAAATAAGTTATTGGTAATCTTTTCAACAATTTTCGGAGATAATCGAAAATTGTCTAACAATTTCGGATTAACAATCAACTTAGACTAAGTTGATTACATTATTTAGTACGACTTTTAATTAATATGAAATATTACCTAGTTACGTTAAGAAAATTATGTTAACTTTGTAATGTAATTTGGTGGACATGTATTGCAGGCATTCCCTTTTGTACCCAATATATCTTGCTTTTAAATTTAATTATATTTATACTTGGCTAAAATTATATTTGTAGTTTTTTTTAGATATAACAAAGTTAAAGTATTTAATAACTGAAAATTATTATATTAACATGTTGTAAAGACCTTCCTTGGTATAATAATATTGATAATAATCCTCAAATTATGCATATGCACAGAATTTCATTTGTATATTTATGCCCAACTATTTACAATAGTTTGACCTATATATTCCTTTTTTTTATATATAATGTATTGTTTATTCAATATGTTATTGTATAGATTTTAGCATTTAAAAAAAAAAAAATTTAATTACCAAGCATATTAAAATGTCACCCAAATACATATTGAATTACTTCAATATTCAAGGAAAAGCTGAGGTAGCTAGACTATTGTTTCATTGTAAAGGTGTTGAATTTACAGATAATCAAATTAACTTCGAAGATTGGCCTTCACAGAAAAGCGATCGTAAGAATATTTAACTTTCTCATTTTGTGGGGGAAATTCAATATGTTTTTTTACATTTTTCTAATTTTTATGTTTAGATTCTAGGTTTCCTTTGGGGCAAATGCCAACATTAGAAGTAGACGGGCATGTTTTTTGCCAGTCTGCAGCTATAAACGCATACTTAGCTGAAACATTTGGTCTTTATGGAGCTAATGCCTCTGATAGATTGATAATTAATCAAGTTATTGAAACTATGAATGATTTATGGAATGATTACTATGATATTTGGAAAAATAAAACATTAGATAATGAACAAAGGGTATAAAAAAATTTAGCTTAATAACTGATAAATATATTTTGATGTTAATATTGTAAGTAAAAGCTTTTATTGTTATTTTTTTTTAGGAAGAAGCTTTTGCAGAACTTTTAGTAAAAGATACCACTAAATTAAAGTTAACTTTTCTTGAGAGTTTGTTAAAGCGTAATCATGATGGTCATGGTTTTTTTGTTGGTGATTCGGTGAGGTTATTGGCTAATTTATTTGTTTAGTGAGTGAAATTTGTTTAGTGAGGTTATTGGCTAAATTATTCGTTTGTGTAATTTATCTAAGAAAAAGTGATAATATCATTAAAGCCGAAATACCTAATCTTACCTGGATAATCAAATTTTTTTTAATGTTATTTTTTTTTTTAATTTTCTTTTACTTTCTTTTCATTTGCATTTGTTATATATATATATATATATATATATATATATATATATATATATATATATATATATATATATATATATATATATATATATATATTACAATATTCATTATTCATTTGTTAACCCACTATTAGAAATTAATAAATAGTTGTGGTGAAATTTACCTAGTGGAAACAAAACTATGACACAAATCCTCAATTTAGTTACAGTTTAGAGTAAAACTGTAAACTTTAGTAAATCTTCTGGTAGAGCACAATAAAAATACTTAATCCTATTCTGCAAAACAGGTAGAGAAAAAAATGCATAAATTCTTGCATAATGTCATTTAAATAAGGTAATAGCGTTTTAAAAATTTCTTAAACAACGCACCTGTAGATTCATAGACATTAACTTTAAAAAAGATTATTGTCGATTTGTTTATTAATGTTTTTATACTTATTATTTTTTGTTAATGTTTTTATCTTTCAATTTATGAACATAATTATGTTCATAATCAGTTTTTGTTAAATAGTGTTTGCGTTGACACTTTTATGTAGAGATTTTACATTTCCTTCAGATCATAAGAGTCTGAAAATACTCAGTTATACAAATTTTTAATAATTTCTAATATCTAAAAGAGTTTGATGCATAATTTCGATGAATATCAAGCTATTGTAGATGTTAGATATCCTATTTGTTTTTGAATATTGCACTTATGATTTCACCAAAATTGCAATAAGCCATATTCTAACAAGTATATTTTTTAGCAATTATTGCCATATGTATTCACCTGCATCAGGAAAGTTTTATATTAAGAAACTTTAACTTTTGGTGGTATTTTGTTAACATATTCAATTTTTACTATTTATCTCTTTCTGGTAATGTTTTAATGTACATAAATAGATAAGAAAAATACAATTATCTTTTGGTAATGTTTTGTAATTGCTATTTTGTAGTTTTTATGTTCAGACTAAAATATTCACTCTGTTGTTGTTCAAACATAAATAAAAACATCACATAGAGCAAGAAAGTAGTTCTATGTAATGTTTTTATTCTTATTTGAAAGTTGTGGGTTTCATTTCCTAAGCATCCCAATAATAAGTAAAATATTAATTTCTGTTTTAAAAAAAAAAAAATTTAATATTAATTTAATTTATTAATATTTCCCTAAATATTTATAAGAAAAAAATATTTAGTGAACAATTGTCTGGGTTTATATTTAGTTGCTATATATTTAGTATTCTTTAATTTTTTGATCTAATTTTAATTTTTAAAGGTATAGCCTTGTAGAATCAAACCACAAGCTCCTACTTTATTGTTATAAATTTAACAAATTTTTTATATTGGTAAAGTTTAAATAAATTTTTGAATAGTTGTAGAGATAAAAATAAAATATATCAGCTTCTCCTTTTTTTGAACTATTGCTGGATAAGCCTAAATTTTGAATATGCTAAGGTTTGAACTGTATGTTACAAAAATAGTAATGATATATGAACTCTATCTACACAACTTTGCGCATTCTTTGAATTCTTTGAGTTGTAAAATCTTTGAATTGATTGCTTTTTATATTTTTGTCTATTGTTTATATAATAGCATTTACTTATTTTTTAATAAACTATTTTTTATTTGATTGAATACTGGATTTTTTATTTATTATGTTCGTTTCTTATGATTGCTACTCAAAATTAAGTTTTAATGAAATATTTTTATATGTTGTATGTTATGTTTATTTGAAATTATTTACTTTTTGTTTGTTTAAGATTACTCTTGGAGATTTGGTATTCTATCATACTACAGGAATGGCTGACAAATCATTATTAAATGGTTTCCCTTTGTTAACTGAGCTAAATGATCGAGTTAGACATAGTGCTGAATTAAAGTCGTATTTGGATTCTCGAACACATCCTCCTATGCCTTAAAGTTTTTGCTTAGATTATATTGTAATTTGTTTGGAGATAATCAAAAAAAATTTATTTATAATTTTTTTTGTTTTCGTGTTTTTATTTTATTACTTTTTTTTAATTTTGAAACATTCGTGTTTGCATCTCCGTTAAGCTTATCTGGCTGCTGCACTTGAATATTGGAGTCATGTCATAATAGCTTTTTTTTAAATATCTGCTAAGGTGCATGTGTTACATCTTAGCAACTAATGATCTCTTTTCAGTCAAGTGAAATTACTATAAATTTCTCATAGTAAATGATAAATTGGTTATGAGAAATTTATAGTAAAAGACATTTCTCAAAGTAAAAAGATGGCGAAAATTTTTTTGTAAAAATCTTTGCAAAATGCAATAATAATAAAAAAGCTCATTAAATTCATGTTCTCACATTTGAGGTGGGGTAGGGTATATAGGTTTTAATGGTTTAGTTGTTTGCAGGACTAATTTTGCAAAACATTTACATTTATTACAAGCCTTCTCAAGTTTGAAATTTCTAAAAGTTATCTTTTTTGAGGATCATAAAAGCTGTCGTGATCCATGGCCCGCTGCCACTTTTTTGTATATACGGTCGACTAAACAATATAATATACTTAAAGAGTGAATTATAAAATAAGCTAGTCAAGTTTTAACATGGCCTACTTTAATTACACGGCCGGATATCGAAAAATTAGAAGGGTAACTTTTATACTCTCTCAAGCGTCTTTTAAAATTGTTTATTTAAATATTCATAATATGGTTAATACATGTGCTGTAGTTTATTGTAAAACTGGATATAAAAAGAGAGAATCAAATTGATGTCATTCCTGAAAAGCATCCACTTTTTGGATTTTCGGAAAATAATCCTAACTTATTTAAACAGTGGGTAACATTTATCAATCGAAAGTAAGCCCAGTAAGAATTCGGCTATTTGTGCTAAACATTTTGAAAAAAAATATTTAAAAATAGGCAACAGAGTAACATTAGTGTGGGATTTAAATCCCGTTCAAACTATTTATTGCTTAACTGAAAAAATACCACCATCAGTATATCCAACTACATCGAAAACTAGAAAGCCACCGTCTGTTCGCCATCCATTAAACAATCAGGATGAATCTAGTATATTTATAAAAAAAGATAAAACTCACTGTTTACATGATTTAAAAAATTTTAGCGTTGAAGGGTATCAGCTTAAAATATTTATTGGGAAATACATATTTTTTAAGTTAGAAACTAATTAACACTTAAGTATTTTTGAAGTTTCAGAAACAATTGTAATTGATCAATTTATATAAATTGATCAATTACAATTGAAATATGCATAATTATGCATATTTCATTGTTTTCTAAATCATCTTATATTCCATTGCCTCCATGGTTTTGAAATATTGGCTGTGTATTGAAAAAAAAAAGTGTTTTGGAGAATTTTCGAGCCTATATAAAAAATTACGTTGAAGAAAATAGTTTGTCAAATGGTTTAATAATTGAACTCAATGAAATAAAATACAAAAAACCGGTTGATCACCCAATGCTTTCATTAAATCTTTTCCCTTATATTCTTCGATATACATCAGCGCAGGCTTATAAAGTCTTATTAGAACAGTTTCCTCTACCATCATTTAGTCTTTTGAAAAAAATTAGTAAAGGTGGGGGTAGAACCATTAAAATCTATAAAATGTTTATTAAACTACGATAAAATTGATAAAGATGTTGTGCTACTGATGAATGAAATATATTTGCAGAAAGAAGCACAATATCAAGGTGGTAGAATAATAGGAGTAGATAATAAGGGAATTTTATACAAAGGTGTAATGACCTTCATAATTGCTACTTTGAAAAAAAAGTTTAATTTTGTTATAAAAGCTATACCATAAGTAAAAATTGAGGGTAAAAATTGAGGGACCATGTTGAAGAGTGCATTACATCTCTACAAGAGAATGGTTTTCATGTTCATGGTGTAATTTCTGATAATCATTCTACTAATGTTTCTGCTTTTTCACATTTGATACAAAAGTATAAAAATACCAACCATGTTAGTAGTATTACACATCCTACAAAAAAAGATAGTATTATACATTTATTTTTTGACGCTGTCCATTTTCTCAAAAACATACGAAACAATACTGAATTCTAAACGTTTTATATTCCCTGCTTTTCATTTTGATCAGTTTTATGATGTTATTGATGTACATCCTGGTGAAATATCATGGAAGTTACTTCATAATGTATATGATAAAGACCAATTACTTCAGTCAAATTTAAAAAAACGGTTTCAAGTTATTGTATAAATATCACTTCATTCAGGAGATAATAAACAAAATGTACCACTTGCTCTTACAATGTTTGATCCTACAACTTTGCAGCTATTGAAAGTTACTTTCCAGATAGGACTGATACCCCAAGCTTTTTAAAGTTGATAAATATATGGTGGACAATAAGTAACAGTAAGCAAAAATATAACAACAGTTTGTGTATTGGAAATGCAGATGTTATGGGTGACATGAAACCTTTATTTTTGAGGAAACTAGCCAAATGAATTGAGAATTGGCAATTATCTCAAGTTTCAAACTCTCCAAAGTTTACATTAAATAAACAAACATCAGAAGCGTTAAGGACTACTTTAAGATGCACAGCTTCATTTATTGATAATTTAATTCAAGAATGGTATCATTATTTTTTAGTATCACGCTTGCTAACTGATCCATTAGAACTAACATTTTTAAAGTATCGTCAAATGAGTGGTAGCAGATTTTTAATTAGTTTGCGTGAGCTTGAGACATCTGAGTGCATATTAGCTTTGAAAACTTTCCTTAAAGAGTCAGTCAATATCTGGAAAGAAGCTGTTTGAAAAGAGAGTCGTAATATATCTTTACTTAAATTATTTAATGATAAATTGCAAGAACTTTTACCAGATATTGAATAATACAGTTTAGATTCAGAGAGCTTTGAAGTTCCTACAGTTATTTTTGGCTATGTGGTTAAAAAGTTTAATAAAAAGATCAAATGTGGTGTTTGCAAAACTTTTCTATTAGCTGAATCTGGTGAGCTACAATGTCAATATTTAGAAAAACTTTCTCGTGGTGGATTGATTTTACCAGCTATTGATCTTACATATTATGTTGCAAAAGCATTTGCAATATTAGATACTGCTATTTTGCTTATAAGAGACTCAACTCTTTCTGATCGATATGCTGCAGAACGGGTACTTAGATTAAATGATTGTGGTTCTTCATTCTTATGCGATGAACGTCAAATTATTGGTGTAAAATTTGTAAATTGCGTTGTTGTAAATATTTATTTTAACAATGACCAGAAATATTTTTCTGGTGAAATTCGAAAGAACAGTGTATTTTAAATGCAGATAAAGAAAAAGATTAAAGGTGAATTAGTTAAATTAATAACCAATTAAGCTGAATTGAGTTGAAGTAGCTAACGCTAAATTATACAGCTGATTTATTTTACTATTCAACGCTAATTATACTTTTCCTTTATTGTTAGATTTTTGTTTATCATTTTATATATCTCGTTAACATTATTACATTATTGAAATATATGTGGGTGTGTGGGTGTATATATATATATATGTATATATATATATATATATATATATATATATATATATATATATATATATATATATATATATATATATATATATATATATACATATAAGTTATGAAAGTAGTGTAGTAGTAAAATGCTCGGTTTGTAAACAAAAAGTTCCGAGAGCAATTCCCAATACATCCCTGATATAACCGTGATTAATTTGTTTTTATGCATAGCAGCCTTGCTTATCAATGCTCGTGTGTTAAAATACGGTAATGGGCGATTTAGTAATTCATTCTTATTCATGAGCTTGACACTTGCCGGTCATTGCTAAGTGATCTCTGATCGATGAGATCAGTTTTATTCACTAGGTATGAAAAACTTCATTGATGAAAAACTTCATTGGTTACCAATGACTTGAATGTTTTATTTAATAGCAGTTTCATTTTTACTCACCGTTCCCATGAAGAACGGTGAAGAATGAACATGAAGAGCCCAAAGAAAAGTTGATAAAAATAAAAAACGTGTACAATTGTTTAAAGAAAAATTGTAAAATTTTGTTTTTCATTACTTTTATATTAAACAATTTTTTTTTTTTTATAATGTGTGATTATCTCTTGTATTAGGGAGTAAAACGGAACGGGGACTGCGGTTTACCTCGGTAACTGTTTCAGGAATCTTTAACGATAAATCCGGGGTAACGATAATAAAGAGCTCGGTAAACCGCAGTAAGTAGCGGTAACAGATCGCGAGGTTAGAATTATTTTGTATATATATATATATATATATATATATATATATATATATATATATATATATATATATATATATATATATATATATATATATATATATATATATATATATATATATATATATATATATATATATATTTATATATTTACCAGCAGTATTAGCAGCTCGTCGTCTGCTGCCCCCACATGGAGGTCGAACTAGAAAACGTAAATCAGCACCTAAAACATGGACTCAGAAAGTTAGAAAGCGGCTGAGACAATCTGGTCAAGCATATAAAAAAAGAAAAGGAGAAAATATTCCAAGAAAATCTGTAAAAAGAAATAAAGACTGTTTGAATATTTGTAAATTTAAATGCAAATAAAGTCATGATCAAATAATATTTGATCATGACTTTAACATCAAACTTCAAAAGCCCAACACTGATTTGTGTGATAAATGTTATGAATTCCGCAATATAGTAAATCCTACTGAGAAAGAAACACAAAAATTTGCAAAACATGTCATTTCGAAAAATGAAAATCGAGCAGAACGCAATAAAGACCGCAAACTTAAAGATAAAAATGTGGCTGTTGTGTGTATTGACCTTCAAAATGTGATAAGTTTACCAAAATCTTATGTGGGTGCAATTTTTTACAAACGTAAACTTTAAGTTTATAATTTGACTAGGCATTGCTCCCTAAATAAAAAAAGTTTTTGTATGCTTTGGCATGAAAGCATTTTGGGTCGTTCAGGGAATGACCTTGCGAGTAGTGTAACTTGCTTGTTAAAAAAGATAATGGCAGACCAGCCAGATGTTAGTAAATTCATATTATGGTTTAATTCATGTGTGCCTCAAAACAGAAATAGTCACATGCTTTACGTGAGTTTTTGATTAGTTACCCGAAAATCAGAGTAGTTAAACAAAAGTTCTGAACCGGGACATTCAAGTATACAAGAAATTGATAATGTCCATTGCCAAGTTGACAGAGCACTACCCCCTCTTGATATATTTTGTCCTCTTAGTTTATTCAGAGTAATTGCTGCTATTTGAAAAAGAAATCTTTTTGCGGTGTACCAAACGAAAAGATTTGATTTCAAGCATTTTTCAGCGATTGCAGAGTATTTTAATTTCATGTCTGTTGCCTATAACCTGATAAAGCATCTGGTATACAGGGCAAAGTTTTCGGATCATGTATTTTATAGAATATCATTTAGTGATGTTTGTTCAGAAGCACGGATAGAGTGTCTTTCTAATAATCCAGAATCACGATCAGCTGTAATGCGAAGGCCTCAGGGCATTGTACCGATGGCTTCTTCCTTGAACCATTGTGTTTAAATTTCTAATGACAAAATCAAGGACCCTCATAGTATGTTCTTGTATATCCCGGCTGCAGACATAGCATTTTATAAAAGTATTTTGAAATAGTTTTTTTTTATATCAAAATGTTTATGTTTTGTAAGTTATGTTGTTATAGCTTCTTATAAAAAATGTGCTTTTATTTTTGGAATTACCAGATGAGTTTGTCTTATTTAATATTTGAGATTTCTGTTTACTGTTCAATGTGTTTTGGATGCTTTATTTTAATGATCTTCTGGGATACTTTTTATAATGTATTGTTTATATTTTGGTTCAATAGATAATACTGGATAGACAAAATAGTGTACTTATACTATAGTGTATTTGTTTAATAGTTTAATAGTGTAAAGTATTCTGAACAGATATTTCTGAAAGAAAAATTTTATATTTCATTAACCAAGTGTTAAACCAAAAAATTGCAAGGTTGTTACGATATCAGTCGCAAAATCATTTCTTTTCTGCATCTGTAAACACGCAAAAAAAGTTTAAAAATGCAACTAAAATTGTGTATACAAATAATATAATTTGCATACTCCCAAAAAGAATACGTCCAGTACTCTAGTCTAGAACAGTGGCGTAGCGAGGATTTTTGCGCTCGGGGTAAAAATGATTTAAAGCCTAAAAAAAAATTTAAGCTTTCGCACCTTGCGCAATTTTCCCTTTGGCCTACCCTTCGCTACGCCACTGGCCTAGTGTAAAGTAATATTTTATTTAAATCAAATAGAGATGTACCTAAGAGTACTTTATTATGCCAAATTATATACGAAATATTAGCATTTATGGGTTTTTTTCATAAAAAATGGAGATAGATCAAAATAACACTGTATTTCATAAAATCTCCAAATCAGGGTGCGGTAGTTCAGACTTTTGCGAAATAAATTTTTTTTAGCTATTAATTTTAAACTGTAGTAGGAAGTATGGGAAATTGAAAAGAATCTGTTTCTTTACTTTTTTAATGTTGTGGTCTTTACATGTGGTCTTTATGGAAGGTCTTTACAAATTTTTAAAATTGTTTTTCTTAGTTCGGCAAAACATGGAGATAGAACAAAATAATTCTAACCTCGCGAGACATGTTAATTAAGAAACACGATATATATCCACAATTGTTTAAAATGTTTTTTTAATTACTTTATGTAAAATTACTATATGTAAACGCATAAAAAACGTATAAAAAGTATTTGAGGTAGGGACAGTTGGGGTGGGGCTAACTTTTTTGGGTGTTTTTGATTCCAGGCTTCAATTTAAGTAGCATTTTGCAAAACATTATATTTTGACTTAAGCAAGAACAAAATAAGTTTGAAGCATTTCGGAAATTGTCTATTGTTTGGACAATGCCCTAAGGTATCGCATATTAAAATCCAAGTAGTGTCCTCATCTCTCATCTGCATCTTGCCTGCTTTATAGCTGCGCCTATGAGTTAATTAAACACAAAAAATTTCATCTTAAATCTCTATTTTACTCAAATAAGGCTTAATACCCACATAAATACAACGATTATATTTTTGGCTACTTATTTCAATGGAATGTTTCCACTATGCATTCGCGCTATTCAAACCACGCACAATCACAGACTTTCCTACTTTATTACGCTCTGCTCACAATAGAAGATATTTGATAGAATTTTCCGTGGAACATGAATATGATCAAATATATTCTCGTGTTAACGCAACTTGAACAAAATTTTTTGGAAAATTTGAGGAAATTTCGTAGCATTTCTGCCAAACCATAACAAACAAATGTTCTTGTATCGCGTTAAAACAAGGAAAGCAGAATTCTAAACCGCCGAAACGTTGAAATGCTGGAAAAAATTACACAATAATATATTTGCGTTAACCGTAAAAAAAGACAACGAAAGATTATGCATCCCAAGAAGATTTTATTGCGCATTTGGCTTCTGCTCTAGGTCATATAATCTTGATGCCGACTATGGCCTGATAAATGAAATTGATAATGAAGGAGGCAAGATCTTCCTGATTATCTTTTATATATTACTATTATGTTGTTCTGTGAGATTTTCTTTAAGCACCTTAAATAAAAAATTAAAAAATAAATTGTTTATTTTTAAAAGACCGCACAGTGGATTTGAAAGTTACATGCTCGTGTAGTTGGTTCCATAATTTTACTGGCTTGTTAAAGAGTTGTTTGTTTCTTAGAATTCAGTTAGGAATTTACTCGCGGTTCTCAAACTAGACAATGTTTAGTTGAAAGAAAATCAAGCACACGAAAACCTTTCAGTGAACCAAGAATTTTAACTGAAGACCTTGTTCACGTTCAATTCAACATAAGTTTTTATAATTCAGGCATCATTGGTTAGCTTCAACTATCAATAAAGTCTAAAATTGTCTTAAAAATTAATAACCTTGAAAAGCAATTATCAAAATTTAACATCATACTTTTGTTGATGGCGAATCAAAAAAGAGAGGAAGCATAACTAATCACTTTAATGTTTATCAAATTATCCTGGCAAATTTTACTGACCGATTCCTCTTTGAACGGGTAGTAAACTCTAACTATTGGAAACATAACTGATCGGCCAGGGCAAGAAAAAGACACAACAATCTTATCGCCAAGCACCTAATAATTCGTACATATTATACATTCACAAGTAATTAAACGTCATAAAAAGTTTCGTC